AGGCTGAGGCAGGAGGATCGCTTGAGCCCAGGAGTTTGAGGTTGCTGTGAGCTAGGCTGAAGCCATGGCACTCTAGCCCGGGCAACAGAGCAAGACTCTGTCTCAAAAAAAAAAAAAAAAAAGTATATAGTAAACATGTATTCATTTTTGTTTTTGTTGTTGTTATTGTTTCCCTTAAAATAGCTCCTTAGGGCCAGGTGCGGTGGCTCGCGCCTGTAATCCTATCTCTCTGGGAGGCCGAGGCGGGTGGATTGTTTGAGCTCAGGAGTTCCAGAGCAGCCTGAGCAAGAGGGAGACCCCGTCTCTACTAAAAATAGAAAGAAATTAATCGGACAACTAAAACTATATAGAAAAAATTAGCCGGGCATGGTGGTGCATGCCTGTAATCCTAGCTGCTCGGGAGGCTGAGGCAGGAGGATCACTTGAGCCCAGGAGTTTGATGTTGCTGTGAGCTAGGCTAATGCCACGGCACTCACTCTAGCCAGGGCAACAGAGTGAGACTCTGTCTCAAAAAAAAAAATAGCTCCTTAGAAGAAGTTATACCTGTAACACCTGTGAATTCAGAGGCTCCCGTGAATTAGCCCAGAGCCATGAGGCTACAGTGGAAACCCCATTCCAAATAGGAATTCTAGATGCAACTCACATCACTCATGCTAACACACTAACTCGTGTTCACGTTTATGTGGAGCTCGTGTTCTCTCCACTTCTCTGGCATTCCCAAACTTCTGGCCAGATGATCTCTCGTGCGCACCAGTCCATACACTGCTCCACCACCCCTGTGCTACACACTTCCACTGCCGCAGAGCCTGAGGAGCGTGGCTGTCTTCCCCTAGGTTGCCTTTTCCGTCCTCTTGTCCTGGAGACTCTCTGGTTCTGAGTCCCTCAGCCTAAAATATGTGTCACAGAAATCCAGAGACCCTTCTGACTTGCTCTGGAGTCTTCACAGAGAGGGGGAGGCGAGGGAAAGGGAGAGGTTTAGGAAGCAATTTCTACAGATGTCATTTTCCCAATTTATGATTATTTTTCATAAGTAACAAAGAAGAAATAAACTTTAAATGTGTTTGTTACAGGCCTACTCACACACACAGCCTGCGGCCTCTGGTGGGAGAATACACACCAGCGGAGGAAGGCATGCTCGTATTTGTACATTTGCTTTTCTATGTGGCCTGTTCTCTGTAGCAACAGTGCTCATTACCTTCTCCAACTTGACAGCCTCACTGCTCTCCATTCCCAGTGATTCTCCTCCTTTAAGGAGTCTATTAATTTTGCTTAGTTCTTTATTGAAGCTAAAGATAATATCCTTTTTGTTTAATGTTCCTACCTTCACTGCAGCCCCTATTTGCTCTTTTTTTTTTTTTTTGATGAATAATGCACATGTGGGAGATAGATGTGCTTTTGAATTCTCACATGCTTGGCACAGACAGTGACTTTGGAGAATGATACGATAAATTGTAGACAGTGTCCCTCCTTTTAGAAGACTTCTAATCTTAACTATTTTCTAAAAACTGAATTTATGAGCCACTTGCTTTACTCTAATAAAAATCACTTAGTTGTAGCTGTCTTTTATTGCTGTTGGTATAGATTTAGGCTATAATTAAGGGAAATTTACCTTTGATATGTTCATCAATCAGCTGTAAATTAACTTTCACATGCTTAGCAGTTGGATCAAAGACACAGATATTTTCGACTAAATATCTGTTAACATACTGTGATCAAAGAACAAAAGAAAAGTTATGGGATCACCAGCCAGTGGAAATATAGTGCCCAGTTCATCAATTTACATAATTCTATTTATATAGATTTTAAAATAGGCAAAAACCAATCTATGGTGTTAGAGGTCAAGATTATGGTTACCTTTGGGGGGTGTGTGTGTTTGTGGGGGTGAAGGGGTAATGGAGAAGGGTAAAAAGAAGAGCCTCTGGGATGCCACTAATGTTCTGTTTCTTGATCCAGGTGCTAGCTACATGGATGTGTTCATTGTGTGAAAATTCTTGCATTTGTACACTTATGATTTGTGCAATTATGATTTGTACAGCTAAATTTGTGTAGGTTATTCTTCAACAAAAAGTATTTTTTAAGTATTTTTAAAATACTTAAAAGTAAACTTACAAATATATACTTATCCCAATTTCCAAAGTCACTTGAAAATTCCAGCTCTGGATGAAAGAACAAGATAACTGCCTTCAAGATGTCATGCACTAGGTTTACATTGGCTTTCAACTCCAGGGACTTGTCTTGAGAAGTTGTCTCTGCTATAGGATTATGATCATAGAGCAACAGAGACACAAAGTCCATAGATTTGAGCAGTTGGAGGCTTTCCTGCAGCTCCTGCAGCATGATTCGGAAGAAGATAATTCCTGCCCTCTGGACTTCCCCTACACGTTCAATCTCTGGAATAAAAAAATGACATCACACATTGCTGTTCAGTCAAATACATTGCTTTGTCATAGGATTCTGAACATATTATAGTACACTTGTGTTTTTCAGGAAAAAGAAGACCATATCCTATGGTCTTAAACAATCTTAGTTTCTGTAGCCGTGAAATCAAAAGAAATAAATGGAATTACACCTGGTGAAGCTCATAGGAAGAGGCCTTGAGAAAAGGCAAAAATTTGAGTTTTAGAGCTAGACCTTAGTTTAAAAACATGTTCTCCCCCTTATTAGTTCTATTGTCTCTCTGAATTATCCTTTTCCTCTTCCATGAGAATCGGGTTAATCCTCAATTCCCTGGTGAGCTGTGGGAATTAAATGAGACAATATATGTAAAAGTGATCAGTTTCAATCCTTATACATAGTGAACACTCAAAAGATATAAATTGTCTTCTTTCTTCTTATCCCACTCCATGTAATGGCTAGAAATCTTCCAGCTTAATCCCATATAATGTTACTCTTTTGATTCTATTCACTTCATTTTAGGTAGCCAAAGATTTCTATGCCTTCTTCTTTCCTCCTTACTCTCCAAGCTGTTATTGTGCTAAGAGTAGCCTAGTGGATGTGGAATCACAAAAACTGGGGTCCAGTTTGGCTCTGCCCCTAGCTTGCTATTGGAATTTGGATAATTCACTTTACTTTTGTGGGCTTTAGCTTCTTTATCTGTAAAATGAGATGTTCTGATTAGTTAATGCTGTGTAATATAGCAGAACCCAACCTGGGTTCAAATCAGCCTTCACCATTTGTTAATTGTATGATTTGGAGCAAGTTGTTTACTTTCTCTGAACTTCGCTTTCCTCACCTGTACAATTGGATATCACCATTCACCTCATAGGGTTATAGTAAGGATTAATGAAATAATATATTTAAAGTGCTTGACACATGATGGGACATTTAATAAATTCTAGTTCTATCTTACCATTATGAGTCCTTCCAGTTCTAAAACTACGAGATTCTAACCAAGAGAATGTGATTCTATGCTCTTTGTTTTAATTTGCAGACAATGCTCATCAGCCTAAAAGTGCATAAGGGAATTCCTTTCACGTGGAAAGATCTGTATACTGCCACAATTCATTCTAGAAAATGCATACTTCATTGCACTGTCTGTGATGTCCCCAAAACCTATTAAACCCGTGAATCCACACCATTGTCCCACTCACAATACCTAAGATGTATTTTTTCTTTATCTCTCCAGAGAGTTCGCCAAGTATTTCATAGCAGGCAGCTTGGATCACCTTCATCATTTTCTGTAGATCTTTATATTCCTGGTATAACAACATTCTAGTCCTGCCAATGTTAAAATCCAGGACTCCCAGAGCCTCTCCTGTTCTCTCACGCAGTGGAATTACTAAGTGGGTTTCTCCACAGACAGAGGCCAAAACAACTTCTGAACTGTCTGTACACTTGAAAAGGAAATCTCTGAAACCAAAACCAAATAAGCACAGGATATTAAACATTTGCCTGTTCACAAGATTCCACCCAAACATACTGAATCACTCTCTCTTGTGCCTACCTCACTGCTGCCACGCCATCCCCTGTTGCTCTTTCATCTGCTGGGAACACTCCACGCCTTGATTTCATGTGGCTCTGTCCCTCAGTTCACTCATGCCTCTGCTCAAACATCCCCGTGGCAGAGGAGACTTCCCTGACTACCCTTCCCTAACTACCCCTCGCTGCTGCTGAGCCACTACTTTGTGTCTTCATGCTAACTAGTAATGATGTATCATACTAAACTTTCCAGACATAACGATAAAGCCCATTGGTCAACAGACTTCCTCCAAAGACATTTGTTCTAAGTTACACACAGGAATACAGGGTTATGAGTGTGGATGTTACAAGAACGCCTGTAAAACTCTTCACCAGCACAAGGAATAACTATGTGGAAAAGAGCTTGAGACTAAATGAACATTCCAGTATTAGGCCAAACTAAAGTTTAACATAGGTAATTAAATGACAAATTAGCCTACTTGTCTGAGATTACTGGGTTACTGCCTACTCAACTACACTGACCCCCCTGACGACCACCTCCCCCCACAAGAAACAGTCATTCCCTTTTGCAATAGGTGTGTTCTCAGTGAAGATCTGTTCTGCATCTGTCCACAGTTCAGTAGCATTCCTTGCATTCCACAAGTGAGAGTCATTCTAAGTAATCTAGAACTGGCTACTAGTTAAATACAACATTCTCTGCCTTCTCTCCAACTTTGCCCGTGTCCTTTAAATAAAAAAACACACATTCACAAGGTAGCTAACATTAACAGATGAGCTCTAATAAGAGAGTGATGTGGATTGATTATTCATAATTCATAGATCTGCTTCAGTGAGAGACTTGAGATTTTTGTTGAATTCCATGTTTACAAGAAAATCTTAAAAAAAACACTATCATGTTTTAAAACACACAATTTTAATATAAAATGCCAATGAAATCGGTTTTAAAAAGGACTTCGGGTAAAGAGAGTTAATATGTCTAAGAAATTTTTCTTTACAAGCTAATCAGGACAAGAGTGTGCACTAATAAGGGTCCTAATCAGAGGCAGAAGCCGTGTCTTTCAGGTCTGTGATCACACTAGGAGGATGTGCACTGGCAGTCAAACAAAACAGACATGTCTCATACCTGAAGATGCATGACTTCCTGAAAATGGTAGGTGGATTTTTGTGGATTTCTGTTAGACCCAGCTGCCCTGTAACCATCATATTGCGTAAAACATAGTCTGAATCCTTGAAAAGAGGAAGAGATTTCATTAGAAAGGAGTAGACCTCATATCTCCATTAAAGCGTTTGGGGACAGATAAATAGGACAAAATTAGGGAACTTTAGATGACTTCTAGCTTTAAAGACAGTGACATTTTACTTATTCAGCACTATTAAGGAACAGGGTGTTCCACATGAGAAAATTTTCAAAAAGAATAATTTTTAAAAAATATACAAGCTTATTTTATATAAATGTGAAAAATTACGTGTTTATATTGTTTTTCTGATGTTAAAAGTGCACTGTAGAACATCTGGTAAATACAGAAACACTCAAAGAAAATAAACACAATTTTAAAATTCTCTAATGATGTCTCTGTCCTCACCACTTCACCAAAACTGTTCTTGTCAGGGTTACCAGTGACCCTCGGAAATCTCATTTGGAAATCTCATTTCCAAATCTACCGGTCAATCCCCAGTCCTCATTTTCATCTATCCCTTGGCAGCATTTGATTCAGTGAACAACTCCCTTCTTGATATATCTTCTTCACTTAGCTTTTGGGACACTACTCTCCTGATTCTCCTCCTACCTCACTAAGCACTCTCTCATTCTCTGTGTTTCTTCCTCATCTCCCTTACTTCTAAGAGATTTTCAAACTGTAGGTCATAACCTACATGTGGGTTATGAAAATATTTTAATGAGTATTGATCAATATTTTTTTGGTAGAGACTATTTTATTTATAAGAAAGCAATATTAACATATTCTGTAAAATACACTAAACTATAGGAAAGACAAATTCAATTGGGAGAAGTAACGAGGGTTTTTTATGAATAATTCCTTTAAAAACTAATTCTTGGAATAAAGAGGAAACTATGATAAGAGAATTCGTAGGTGTTTCAAGCTGAATGGTGCTTGGAAGACAAACAACTGTTTTGTAGTAGTGACCTTAAGTGTTCTACCCAACTCTCTTTTTTTTTTTTTTGAGACAGGGTCTCACCGTATTGCCTAGGCTAGAGTGCAGTGACATCATCATAGCTCACAGCAACCTCAAACACCTGGGCTCAAGGGATTCTCCTGCCTCAGCCTCCCGAGTAGCTGTGACTACAGGCATGCACCACCATGCCCAGCTAATTTTTGTATTTTTTGCAGAGACAGGGTCTGGTTATGTTGCTAAGGCTAATCTACCAAACTCTTTAGATAAAAAATGTTTTCAACCAGGTGCAGTGGCTCTCACCTGTAATCCCAGCACTTTCGGAGGCTGAGGCAGGAGGACTATTTGAGGCCAGGAGTTTGAGGCTGCAGTGAGCTATGATCATGCTACTGTACTCCAGCCTGAGGGACAGAGCGAGACCCTATCTCTAAAAAACATTAATTAAAAAAAAAAGAAAAATGTTTTCAACATTACAACTAGACTGTTAAGATTATCCCACATTGGCAGTTGGGCTTTTTGCTTCTTTCTGAATTTCTTTCTTTCCTGATTTGTTATTTGGTGTTACATTATACTTGACTGAAAAGATTTCTTAAAAATCTCACCCTGACTGTGTTTCTAAGTCTAAATATTTAGCCAACACCGAATAATTCCTTTCCTGTTTTTCCCTCCAAAATTGCATAAATTGACCACTCCTGCTGTTAGACCAGAAGCATAATATAGAAAATAATTTGCTCATAATAATATGCCTGAAAATAAGCTTGCATTTCATTTGATTTTATTTAAACCTAAAACTATAAAATTTAGCAAGCCCCTCAGCAATTCTTCAGCAGTGAGACAAGCACTCCTCATTAAAATCACCCAGGAAAACTTCTGGAGAAAAGGCTGCAATTATATCCCCCCATCTTCTTTCTTCTGCTGCAAGTTTGTTATGTGTCCCCCTCTCTCTCCCATATCTGCTCATTCTAACGTTTCTCATTACACATTATTTACTCATTTGCTTTAATATTTATCCTCTTTCGCTTTTTTTCTCTTAACAAACACCTGTTTAAAAAAACAATGAAATACAATCTACAGTATCAGAGAACATCACATTTAATAAAAGTAGGTAGTCTTTTGTGAAACTTCTATTTCAAGTGTGTGTGTGTGTCTGCGCATGTGAGAGGTCAGGATACAAAATGTTTTCATATTGTGGGTCACAGTCAATACAATTTTGAGCCACAATGATTCCAAACATTTGCAGTGCCTCAGGGCTCAGGCCTCAGATTTTTTTTTTCCTAGTCTTACTGATCCTATTCAGTTTCATGGTTTTTTGTTTTATTTTGTTTATTGTGGTAAAATATACATAGCATACTATTTATCATTTTAACCATTTAAGTGTATAATTCAGTGGCATTAAATATATTCACGAATGCTATGTAACCCAGTCTCATGGGTTTAAAAAACCATTTATTTTAATTCTTTTTCAGTTTAGTAGGTAAAAATTATCCTTTTTTTTTTTTTTGAGACAGAGTCTCACTCTGTTGCCCGGGCTAGAGTGAGTGCTGTGGTGTCAGCCTAGCTCACAGCAACCTCAAACTCCTGGGCTCAAGCGATCCTACTGCCTCAGCCTCCCGAGTACCTGGGACTACGGGCATGCGCCACCATGCCCGGGTAATTTTTTCTATATATTTTTAGTTGTCCAATTAATTTCTTTCTAATTTTAGTAGAGACAGGGTTTCGCTCTTGCTCAGGCTGGTCTCGAACTCCTGAGCTCAAACAATCCGCCCACCTCGGCCTCCCAGAGAGCTAGGATTACAGGCGTGAGCCACCACACCCGGCCACAAAAATTATCTTGTACTGAACTTTTACTTTGTATTTATTTCTTTGAGAATGCTTGAATTTTTTTTACATGTTTATGAACAATTTGCATGAGGTGTGTTTTTTTTTTTTTTTTAAATTGACTTGCCCCTTGCTTATTTTTCTTTTGGATTTTAAAAAAACTCATTGATTTGTGTATAAGTGTTAACCTTTTGCCAGATATGTGGCAATTTCCTCCCAGTTTGTCATAAGCAATCTCTTTTTTTTTTTGAGACAGAGTCTCGCTTTGTTACCCTGGCTAGAGTGTCGTGGCGTCAGCCTAGCTCACTGCAACCTTAAACTCCTGGGCTCCAGCAATCCTATTGTCTCAGCCTCCTGAGTACCTGGGACTACAGGCAAGTGCCACGACACCCGGCTAATTTTTCTCCTTTTTTGTAGAGACGGGGTCTCGCTCTTCCTCAGGCTGGTCTCAAACTCCTGAGCTCAAGTGATCCTCCTGTCTTGGCCTCCCAGAGTGCTAGGAGTACAGGCGTGAGCCACAGTGCTCAGCCAATTTTTTCATTTTATTTATAACTTTGGTGCTAGAAAGTTTTACATTTTTATGTAGTCAATGTATTAACCTTCCCTTAATTGTTCCAGCTTTAGGTGTAAGCTTAGTGATCCTTCCCCAGACCAATATTATAAATTTTCTCTCGACCCCTGTATTCTTAGCTATTTTATAAAGAGTAAAATAATTTGTCAAGTTTTAAGAAATCATGTTGGGATTTTTCTTGGAATTCTGATGAATTTATAAATAATTTTTGGAAGGAACTATATCTTTAAAAAAGTGGTCACGTGAAAAAAACCATAATGTGATTTTTCTATTTTATAGAAAAATTTATGTCCCTTGATAAAGTTTTGTAGTTTGCTTCATAGAGAGCCTAAGGATGACAGGATGAAGCGGGAAAAATGTTGTGCACAAAGTAACAGCATTTTTGAAATCCCTGAATAAAAGAAAAGTTGCTTTCTATTATGGATGGTAAGACCGGAGACATTAATTGTAGTATTGCATTTTTCTCCTCCCAAAGTCTCTCCTCTTCTCTTCCCTGATTCAAGCAGAAAGTCAGTGTCTGTTCACTGCCTTAGAAAAGGAATGTGATGAGGGTGAGTGAGATGGTTCATGCCTGTAATCCCAGCACTTTGGGAGGTCGATTGCTTGAGCCCAGGAGTTAGAGGCTGCAGTAAGCTGTAATTGTACCCCTGTACTCCAGCCTGGGTGACAGCGACAGAGCGAGACCCTGTCTCTAGAAAAGAAAAGGAATGTGATGAGGTAGAAAGCAGAAATTACTGGCTAGTCCCTGACTTTTGTTTTTTCAAAAGCCTATGATCCTGTGACTTAAGATAGCAAACCAGGCACACATGTTAGCCATTTGTCCCTCTCAAGACCTTAGGGAAATAAGAGACTAAGGTCTTGATTTCCTTGCTAGCTGTCAGCTGGGTGCTTCCCTTAGTGCCTAGAGACCTTGGGCCTTCGTATGTAGCCCTGTGCATTTCAGAACCAGCAATGGAGTGTCAATTTGCCAGATCCCTGACACTTCTCCCATCCCCCCCGTCTCTCAGGGATCACAGCCAGAAAGGGTTTTCTGTTTTTAAGGACTCATATGATTAGATTGTGCCCACTTGGATAATCCAGAATACTTTCTTCATCTCAAATTCCTTAATTTTAATCACATCTGCAAAGTCCCTCTTGCCACATAAAGTATAATAACGTATTCATAGGTTCCAGGAATTAGGATATAGACATCTTTGTGGAGAGGGCATTACTCTGCCTATCACAGTCACCTATTTAATAAAGTCAGTATTCCAAAGAAACAGACATAGGTGCTTTTGGGTGATAAACTAAAATGGCCTGAGTTCCATACCTAAGAAAGTCTGAATCTCCAATTTCCCCTCATCTATGGTTACTGTCAACAGAGCAAGAATTTTTTTCCTCTATGACGCCATACTTACAGGAACACGGGCATGAGGTAAGGTGGGGTATCTCAGGATCTACTTTATTAATTCGTATCAGTCGGAGTGTCAGAAGGAAATAGATGGCATGCTAGAACTGGGTCATTTAAGGGGAGTTTAATAAAGAGACTATTTATAAGGCTTCGGCACTGTTTAGAATCCTGAACCAGTAACAATGAAGAGCTATTACCACCCTTAGCCCGGGAAAGCAAAAAAAAGGAAGCAATTACTAGAACTGGAGAGAACATCCATACGGAGAGGACCACCCAACTATAGGTGAAGTGCCCTTACTAGGGAAACCCAGCCAGCCCACAGCAACCTGGCAGGGGGGAACCGCAGCCTCACTCTCCTTCTGCCCTCCAATTTCTTATTGGGGCTCTCATTGGACAAACCAAAGCAGAAGCCAAAGGGCCAAGGAGACCATTGATATTGTCTACTTTTTGAGGCACTGAGCAGGCCAGAGAAGAGAGGAAAGTGGATCTGTAGGGGCTGCAGAAGGGGAAGGGGGAGGCTTAGGAAGTTATAACAGTTGAGTTCTTGAAAAAAGTTATCCCTACGGCCACACTCAGTTTGTTGTTTTTTTGTTTTGTTTTGTTTTGTTTTGTTTTAAAGACAGGGTCTCACTCTGTCACCCAGGCTAGAGTAGTCTTTTTTCCCTTCCCATGTCACCTGTATGATTCTCGTGGGTATTGCCAGTTACTGTAAACTCCCCACCATGGCTAAGGGAACGTATCTCAGGATGAGTCAAAAAGAGTTTCCCCTCTTGGGTTTTCCAAAGTGAAACTTTTTACTGGTTGCTTTCACTAAGCATCTGACTTGCCCCATGGAGAAAGCCCATCTTTAGCTGGAAGGACAAAGCCAAAGTGCAGAAACAAAGCAAACATGAGAAGTGGAGAGAGAAAGAACACTAGAGAGCCCTGATAGTATAGAATCCCTGGATCTGGTCATCTGGGAAGCCAGCTTGACTCCTCCCCTTTCTTCATTTTGGTCACATGAGTCAGTCAATTCTCCCTTTTGCCTAAGGCAGTTTGAGATGGATTCCTGCCACTCACAACCAAGGGTCTTGAATTGGGGTCATGGGAAATATGACCCCAGTTAGCCTAATAGCTAATTAATATGCTTTTAAAATCTTAGCAAGATGATAACATCTAGAAACTCTGTTACTTGGGAGAAGTCTAACACTGCTGATTCTTACCCACCTGGTCTGGGCTGGGCTCTATAAAGTAAGTAGTGATGGAGGTGATGCTGGATGTGATGTTATAGAGCCAGCCGATGCCAGTGATCACGACATGTAGAATGTGCTCCCGGCTGTGGACAAAGTGGTAGGCAGTGCTAAAGACATTGGAAACACCCTGTAGGAACAGAAATTTCAAATCGTCTTTTCTTTTTAAAATAGCAAACTAATTCTTGATACATTAATTGGATTATCTTTTTAATTAATGATAATCTACTTCCTACAAATTACTCATCAATTTTCAAAAGGCAGTGTTCCAGATGCTACTATGAAAAAAGGATCATCAAGACATCAAAGGTATAAAGAGAGATTTTTATGCTTTCTAATTATCCAGTGAAATTAGTGATTCATGCTATCAGAGAATAGCATCAGAAGAACAAGATAATCTTTGAAATGAGAAAAAAATGTTTAAGAGCCAAGAACTAATGCCAGCTTTGTGCAGATGGGTACATGCCCTGATCTGATGCCAATGTTAATGTCTGCATCTATACATGGCTACTGTCATCAGTTCACGGTATAGGACGTGTTTCGTTCCAAGGCCTGCAACATGCTAGATTACACAGTCCTCCTATAGGCATAAAGAGACTCTTCCACACAGAAGGGATGGAAAAATTCTTAGAACTCATCTGTGGGCTAGTCAAGAAACTCCAGGAACCACAAATTCTTCAAAATCATATGCATTTTATATTAGAACTCAAGGCATCTAAGGGTAAGCCAGGAGACTTTTATCTCCAAGGCTCCAAGGGCTAGAGAGCCAATTCGTAACTCATTTTGACATACTCTCTAACAAGAGTATATATAGCTCACCTACAATAACTCCATGTTCCTCCTCCATTTTACTTCTTAATATCTTCACATTTTTTTTTTTTTTTAGATAGAGACACACTCTGTTGCCCTGGGTAGAGTGCAGTGGTGTCATCCTAGCTCACTGCAACCTCAAACTCCTGGGCTCAAGTGATCCTCCTGCTTCAGCCTCCCCAGTAGCTGGGACTACAGGTGCATGCCACCACCCCCAGCTAATTTTTTCTATTTTTTTGTAGAGAGGGGGTCTCCTTCTTTCTCAGACTGGTTTCAGACTCCTGGGCTCAAGCGATCCTCCCTTCTTGGCCTTCCAGAGTGCTAGGATTACAGGCGTGAGCCACTGCGCCCAGCCCACATCATTCTTATGTCCGATAAGAATGAATCTTATTATTATTAATAAAAAGTAGTCCAGAGAAAGAGATTCTACCACTTTCCTCAGTTATCTACCCATAAGTAGGAAGAGAAAATGAAAAATAATGGTAAATAAACATAAAAAGCCTGAGGCTTACAGAGGAACAAATGAGAAGGGTGTAGCAAGTTCCTGATTTGCTGTTACACCCGCAGTCCATTGCCTCCATAAAGGCTTTCAATCTTCCTGCATTGCACTTTTTATCCACAAAATTAAATCAAAATGCTTGTAGAAATGGTCTAGCTATTTCGTAGTCTTAAAAATGCCTATCTTTTTTGTGATCTAATTTGAAATCTCAAGAAACATTTAGGCTTTTTTTTTTATTCTTCATCTTCAAAAATTATAACACTGAAATCAAGAGCTATGGGGATGCATATCATCTTTAGCACCATGTGTGGAAGGAACAAAGGATTTCTAGGTACCACTATTAATAAAACACAAACATATTCCTTCTAAAAGTTCATTCCCACTTTGTGGGTCTTAGTCAGGGGTCTAATGGTTGGATTTTTGTTCTATAGTATAAAATTCTATGTCTATGATTAATGCTATGGGACACAGAGAGGCTGAGAGTCCTTCCATAAGTAATGGGGAACCTCTCCAAAGACTGAAACATACATGCAGGTAACAGGAGCAAATATGATGACATTGTCTATATACAGAGCTTTACTCTCATCTGGTTTCAGATTTCACTTTCTAAAAAGTACAGGAGAGGCCATACTACCATTGCTCTTGAAGACTTCTATGACTTACCTGATAGAATCTGATCTCATGAGGTAGGAAGATGTTTATGTCATGGGGATCTCTAAGGGTGTCAACAGCCAAGACCCCAAAGATCCTCATGTATGCATCCTGAAGAGGCAGAGCCAGGAACGACCCATTATAATCATTCTTGGGACGGGAATCGTTCCAGAAGAAGATGTTCCCATGGTACTGAACTTGGGGGACATGAATTGGCTCCCCTTCATCCATTACCGTAAAGCTGAGGAAAAAGAATACAAGGATGGGAAAAAGGCACAAGGGATGGGTTTAGATTAAATGCTGCAGAAAGCTAGATTAATTCTCCATTCACAGTCATTAGCATTAAATGTCAGAGAAGTCAACTCAGATAAGATTACCAGTTTGAAGGGTCTGACTTTAAAGAAAGATTTAAAAGACAAGCTTAGATCTTAAACGGAGAACACGTACACAAACAGGATGCAGGAGACAACTCGTAGAGCAGGAAGAAGTAATTGAGCTGATACTGTGAAGCAGAGTCCCTACATGGCAAATCATTGCCAAAGACTGAGCCCTAGAAATGATCATGTGAAATCACCCAGGACTGGAAGCCCATCAGCCCCTACTCTAGAAGCACTGGTGACTTGAGGCATTTCTCCCTTCACAGCTAATCAGGATTTTCATGTTAGTTTACTTCAGAAAGGGAATTATTTTTTCAGAAGAGTGAAACCAACCTCTTCAAGAAGTTCTTACCTGATTCCCTTCATGTCCCTGTAGAGCACTTTGTTCAGTACCCATGGAGCATCATCTAAGGTACAAGCCACATTCCTCAAGAGAACATTTCCTCTATCAGGCAGTAGTAGGTTTTCTTCTAAGAGGGAAATATGAGCACTGATCTTCTTATTTCCATGGGTGTCAGCATCCTAGGGCAAAATGTTTCTGACCATGTATTTGCCAACAGCCAAAGAACTCCCCTAACATGTCTCCCTTCATTAGCGAATTTGTGTATCTGGCTCAAATCATCTCATTTTCCTGAATAGGTAATGCAGATATTACCATTTACAGACAGTGGGAAAAAGTCTGACACCACTGCTGTCCCCTAAACCTGAGTTTTAGTGAGTAGAATGATTTCTGCTATGCCAACTAGACTGGCTTACTGGACAAACAAAAACAAAAAAACCTCTCAAGTCTACTCAAATTTAGAGGTTTAAAATTTGGATCCCTTTGAACTATAGTCAAATTGTTTGGGCTTCAGTTAAAAGTATTTATTTTAAGGAACTGGAACAAGAAGATGCCTTCATTTCACTCCTATTCTTGACCATCTACTGTGATGTGAATATGAAAAAAAACACTCTCAGGGAATTTTTGACATACTTTGGATATTTTATCTATGTCATTTCAGGAAAGAATTTCCTGAGGCTCAAGACTGCAGACTTACTAGGACTACCATTTCTAATTAAAATAACTGAAAATTCTCTGTACCTAAAATATTATATTATTAATATTATGTGTTAACACATATATTGAACATATCCATAAATTGGGAACATGAAAGACACGTTCCTTGATATTTGTCTCCTCTTTCTATATATTTGGGTTTACTTTTCATGCCTTTTTCTTCTGTCCTATTTCTCCTTCCTACATACAAGATCTATGGAGTAATTAACAAATGTGTAGTGAGAGTTCTCTTAGGGTACCACAGATCTCTGAAGGAAGTTTGAGTAATGCTTCTTTTTCTTGACTGGTCTCCTGGTCCTGGTGTACCATTTCCAATTACATTAGAAAATTCAGCCATTCAGGAGATGATTTCATTGAGCAAGTGTTGCTATTTAGCTGAGATGACTGGCGCAGGTTGCCTGGATCAATGGAATCTCTGATATATGTGCAAGGCCACTGTGCTGTTTCTGTGTGGAAGGAGTAGGAATCTGGGAGTCTCTGAAGAGGTGGAAAGGCTGTGGGTAGTGGCCCCTCAGGGCCATGTGTTTTAAGTGACAGGATTCTGTAATAGTGTCAGCTTGCTTCTAGGCAGTGCTATGAAATATTCTGTGATGTTGGATTCTACTTTATATTTATAATTTAAATAGTTCCTTTTTAAAATGAATCCCAATTATCATGTATGGAAATCTAGTTTGAACTGCTTGCATGTCTCCTTATTGGTATTTTTCATTATCAATCTATTGTCTATTCTAGGTTTATTTGACTCTCAGCACAAACGAAAGTAGAAATTACAAGACATCTTTTCTACATCTGTATTTTCTACCTTTCCTCTCTGCTTTGATCTTACCAACCAGCAATCATTCCAGTTGCATCTCTCCTGGGTGTTGGGGCATTTGTAAAGTACTGGAATGAATAAGACATCTACAGTAGCACCTGGTGATTTTTCAAGAGAATTCAGTATACGCCTCTTTTGCAACCATTGAATATCACCTACTTTGAGGAAATGTTTCCTCTTATACATCACTTTAGAAAACATACCTGGGTGAGGGCCCTAAAGGTCTCTGTATACACTGGCTCAAGGGACACCCCACTGGTCTGTGCTGCACACTGGATCTGGTGTAGCCATTTCCGTCTGGCACTATTCCTCAGATTATCAACATGGCTTCTCTGCAGAGCATTCATCAGAAACTCCACAACGCTTTCCAGAACTTGATCTTCATTGCCCCTGAGTTCAGATACAACCAATTCTATGTATTTCTGAAATTGTTTTGAAGACAACCTCACTTCGTGATCAGAGTGTGGCTTTGGAAATTGGATGTGTAGTTTAGCTAAAAGATAAACACAAAACCAAAAACCAACCAAAAGTTCATTTATCCATGGGGGAAATTTTTATTCTCCTCTTACAGTGAAATGAAGCCCTTGACAACTGCTCTCTTAGAAAACCAGGTATGTCAAAGGCATCTCTGAACCCAGTAGAATATTTTATGGTGGCTTCCTATGCTGAACTCAATATGACTCCTGTGTCATCTTCTTTGTTTTTATTTTGTTTTGTTTTAATTCTACCATTCAGCCTGGTGAAACCTTAGGGTCTACTTCGACTCCTTCCTACATTTTGCCTTTCATATCCAATAAACCACTTAATCCTAACCTGTTACTCTTTGGCAACATGGTCACTCCTTGTGGCCACTTCTCTCTGTTTCTACTTTCATAACCCCAAGCCAGCTTTTATCACTTTATAGTTGACTTGCCAATAGTAAATGCTCGATTATGTTTGTAAAATTAAAACATGACCTGCATTATGCAATTTCCTGATTCAAAGTCTTATCTTACTATATTTGAATGCAGTCTATTTCCAATCATATTTGCCCTTAATGCCATATAGGAGTTATTTGCTCCACTGTGCCCATTCTACTCACAGTTTCTGATTATGCTTTGCACACTTCTGCATCCACACTTCTTTTTATTTTTTTTAATTGTATAATCATGAATCTATTAATACTACCAAACCTGAACATTACCAGTAACTTACATCTTCCTCCATGATCTACCCTATTCCATCCTCTGCTTTCCCACACCCCCACGAATATCCTGAAATTCGGCGTTATCTTTCCCCACTATTGTTACAGTTATATATAACAATATAATGCACACACACACTCACACACACACACGTTGTTGACTTCTAAACAATATGTGGTTTAGTTTTGCCTGTTTGTAAATATAGTTTTCTGGAACTTGCTTTTTTATTCAACGTTATGCTCCCATATCCACCCATGTTGTTTCTGTAGCTATGACTTATTTGTTTTCACCACTGTGTGTTATTATGTGAGTATACCATTACCAATATATTTATTCCCCTAGCAATGGGTGTTTAGGTTGTTTTCAATATTTTGCTATTATGAACAGTGTTATAAGCATTTTGTACATGTCTCCTGGTGCATATGTGCAAGTTTCTTTGACATTTGCTATAAATTAATAAGTCATAGGGTATGCACCCTTCCCCTTTAAAGTATGGTTCAAACTCCCTCCTTCCTCAAGAAGCCTTCCACCGTGATTTCCCCTTCCCCTGAAAGACAATAGCATATATTCTACACCATTTATTTGACAATGAACAAATATTAATACTACCTTGTACTATAGTCATCATGTGTAAGCTTCCCATTTCTGCAGTTGAACATTTATTGATTTTTGCTCTTTAGCATCCACTCATGTTTCTCTTGGTACTTGTAGCTCCAATTTTGCTTTGGGGAAATCACTCCACTCCCATCTCAGTTCATGTGTTTGAGTGGAGTTCCACTTGTGGTTCTAGAGGTGGAGCATGCGTCTCAGGCTTAAGCCAGTCAGGACAGTCTATTCCTCTAGCCAGAGTGGTTGGTTTAGCACTGACTCATGCCAGACTTTTTTCATGAATGATTAGGAAAAGGACACTTTCCTTTTTATTCCCACTGAACCTGAATGAACCTGTGAGGATGTGAAACTGGACCTGGTCACACAAGGGGAGAGGTTGTATGGCAATGGAGCTGCAACATAGAAGAGAGCAGGGCCAGACTGAAAGCAAGAGCAAGAGAAAGAACCAGACATCTGTCCTAATGTCATTATTTGAATTCCCAAATCTAGCCGTGTCCTGAACTAGCACTGGACTTTCTCATTACATGAACCAATAAATTCCTTTTTTGCTTAACCATGCTGGGTTGGGTTTTCTATTACTTGAGCCAAAAGAGTCCTAATTTATATAGTACTCAATTGGATTAAAACCTGTGGGTTTTTCCTCTTCTATCTTTCTTCCTTTTTTTTTTCTTTTCATTCCATTGCCCTCTGGAACAATTTCGTCCTAACGCCAGTAGGTGGGGCAGAGCAAGGTAAGCATCTACTTGTGGTCAGCGGAAGCCAAGGTGGCACAGAGCAGGGTATCAGAGTTTAAATGGGTTAAGGAGGGCATCTGTACAGGGATGGTTTGGCATGGGTTGTCCAAGCCTAAGCAGGGTGAGGAGGGTATCCATGTGGAAGGGCAACCTACAGCCCATGTGGATAAAGAAGGTGGCCCTACAGAGAGGTGGTTTAGATTGGGGTGTCAGAACCCAAGCAGGATGAAGAGGGCATCCATATGGGGTATTTAATCCTAAGCAAGGTGAAGGCATCCAAATGGAGGGACAGCCTAGTCTGAGAAGTCAGAGCCTAAACAGGGTGAGAAGGGTGTCTATGTGGAGGGGCTGTCCAGCATGGGGAAACAGAGCCCAAGCAAAGTGAGGAGGAATTCCAGATAGGGGGTCAGCTCAGCACAGGGAGTCAGAGCCTGAGTGGATCGAGGAGGGCATCTATGTGAAAAGGTACCTTGGCATGCAGTGTCAGTGTCAGGAGTATGTAAAGAGCATCCACTTAGAGGGGTGATCTGGTGTGAGATGTCAGAGCCTAAGCATAGCGAGGAGGGCAACCATATGAGAGGGACAGATTAGCGTTGAGTGTTGGAAGAAGGAAATCAATGTGAGAGAGAGGACAGTAGTAGCGAGAAGAGATTAGTTCCATATAGAACTAATGGATTGATTGGGGGATTGACCAAATAAATAAATGTATTTAGGATACTACAAGCCAGAGAGAAAGCAGCTGCAAAATGGAAAGGGAGAAGACAAGAATTAATCCTGTCGTGTTGGATTGGACTTGGAGGTATCAGTATGAACTCATGACTTTTAATATTAATAGACAGAAAGATATGTACAGATGTAAATGTGTACGTACATACATACACATGTACACACACACACACACACACACACACACACACACACACACATTCCCTACATCTGTCCACTGAGAAACCTGGGAGCAGAGACCTGTGAGCAATGAGCACGTATAGAACCCAGATGTTGGCTTATAACTACCATTCTCCACTACCAGATTTTGTTGAGGAAATGGGTGATTACAGGGTGAAAGCAGGGAAAGTATAAAATGAACCCAGAAGATCTCATTGTGCCAGAAAGCAAGGAAGTGCTCAAAGAATGATGGATACATGTTAAAGGGATGCAGGAAACTGGCAGTTTCTTATAAAGCTAAACATATACATATCCTGTGGCCCAGAAATTCCACTCCTAAGTATTTACTAACAAGAAATGAAAACATATATCCACAAAAAGGTTTGTACAAGATTGTTCAGAGTAGCTTTATCCATAATAGCTAAGAACCGGAAACATCCCAAGTGTCCATCAATTGGAGAATAGATAAACTAACTATGGTGTATTCATACAATGGAATACTACTCAGTAGTAAAAAGAAGCAAGTTGCTGATACATGCAACAACATGTAAGAATCCCAAGAAAAATTATGCTAAATGAAAGAAGCCTTACACAAAAGAGTACATACTATATTACTGTATTTTTGTGAGGTTCCAGAAGAGATAAAACTAACCTACGGTGGAAAACAACCAGAGAAGTGGTTGCCTTGGGGACTGGGTGGTGGGGATTGAACGGGAAAGGAGCCTAGGGGAATTTTTGTTCTATTAATATATCTTGACAGGGGTCTGAGGTACACAGATCATGCATTTGCCAAAACCCAGCAAAAGCACACTTAAAATTTGTCATCTCATTTTATGGAAATTTTATCTCAAAAAAGGAAAAACCCTGTTAACAAATACTGAACTCTAAATAATGACATGCATGCTGAAGTATTTAGGGAGAAGTATACTAATGTCTATAATTTACTTTAAAATGCACCAAAAATAAGAGAGGTAGGTGGAAGGATAAAGGGATGGAGAGATGACTAGATGGATAATCCAAAGAAGTATAGTACATTGTTAATGGTAGAATCTAGGTGGTGGGAATATAGGTGCTCGCTGCAAAATTCATTCAGCTTTGCTGTATGTTTGAAGTTTGTCAAAATATAATGTTGGGAGTGGGGATGAGAGGACACAGGAGTCAGACTGAAAGGACTTCTTTGTCTAAATCTGGGACAATATGAGCATCAAAACAAAGAATGATAGCACTGAATTATAACCCATTGAGTAAAGTAGGAAACCATGAATACATACTGTTATAAATGAATAAATGAAAAGTTTGACAAAAAAGGGAAGAATTATTTATATGGTTTCAAAGCACACTCACAAAATCCTTGTTAATTACAAAGGGAAAAAGAGTAACTTTAAAGCGGAGAGGCCTGACATATCATCTTAATCAACTGGTCAAAGTTATTATCATGGGACTTCTGATAGGAATCAATGAGAACACAGCATTGTTCTTGTGATATATTCCTGCCAAATATTGATAACGTGAATGTAATCATGGGGAAACATGAGGAAACAAACCTAAATAAAGGATATGCTGCAAACAACCAGCCTATGATCTCCAAAAGTATCAAGGTAATGGAAATCAAGGAAAGACTGATGAGTTTCTTAGTGATTCCTTATCATCAGAGTTCCAGAGCAAAGAAATAGCAACAGTAGTTCTAGGCTAGCTACTTGTCCAGTTTTCAGTTTCTTTAAAAACACTTTGTGTGCTTCTCAATGAGACTTTTAAATAAATACGTTAATGTTCAAGATTTCTGGAATTTTGTGACAAAACTCATCACCAAAATGGGTGGGTTTTTTTTTTTGGTGTTTTGTTTTAAAATAAATGTTTATTTTTTTCTAGCTGCATTTTTTCTTTTATTATTTTTTATTTTGATTTTATTTTTATCTTTTAATTTTTCTTTTTAAGAGATGAAGTCTCACTATGTGCCCAGGCTGGAGTGCAGTGGCTATTCAGAGGTAAGATCCCTCTACTCATCAGCACAGGTGTTTTGATTTGCTCTTTTCCAGCTGGGCTGGGTTACCCCTCCTTAGGCAACTTGGTAGTCCCTTGCTGCCTGGAAGTCACCATACTGATGCTGAACTTCATCTGGACACCTGATCAGTGGTATAGCACACTACATCCCAGAACTCCTGGGCTCAAGCAATCCTCCCATCCCAGCCTCCTGCACAGCTGGGACTACAGGTGTGCATTAGCATGCTCAGCTATTATTATTTTTAATTGACACATAATAATTGTACATATTTATAGGGTACAGTGTGATATTTTGATATGTGTATACAATGTATAATGATATAATTCCTTCATTTTACAAACAAGGAGACCTCGGTCTATGGAGGTTAAGGATCTTGCCAAAGGTCATGTGACCATTTAGCGATGATCCAGTATTGGAACCCAGCTATCCTGATCATTATCTAGAGTTCTCCATAGAACATGGTTCTATGTTATGAAATTTGCTCATCCTATAAGTGGAAACCACCTCATTAAGCTTTTTTTTTTTTTGAGACAGAGTCTGGCTCTGTTACCCCAGCATCATCATAGCTCAATGCAACCTCAAACTCCTGGGCTTAAGCAATCCTCCTGTCTCAGCCTCCCCAGTAGCTGGGACCGTAGGCATGTGCCACCATGCCCAGCTAATTTTTTCCATTTTAGTAGAGATGCGGGTCTTACTCTTGCTCAAGCTGATCTCGAACTCCTGACTTCCAGTGATCCTCCCGCTGTGACCTCCCAGAGTGCTAGGATTACAGGTGTGAGCCACCTCACCCAGCCTCATTATACCTTTTGAAACTTCATTAAGTAAATTCTCTTTGGATGCAGTCTAAGACAAATGATATAGTATAATGTAAAGTTTGCAGAAGATATAGTTGCTGAAGAGAATATAACAACAGATAAACTTAGGTACATTTGAAGATCAACAAATACAATGATTTTTTAAAGCGATGAAGAACTTAACTAACTTTGACGATTCTTTCCCTCATGCACTATATACTTTAAAAATCGAAACTCTAGTATGCCTAAGTCATCAGATAAATCCTTAAACTCAAGAGCAAGATAATTTAAACTAAGATCTAATAAAATGAAGAAAGGAATTTATTATACTGGAATGAGAATTTTAGTAGCTTTTGATTGGGAAGTATTGATCAGAAGAGAAAAACATAATACAGGGGGAGAAAAAGTCATTAAGGAGAATAAGAAGTTAGTAAATTGAAAAGGAACTTGCAAGCCAGTCAGACTTGAGGAAGTGAATCAGACCTTATGAAGGCAGAGAGATGAAAGAAGAGAAAATAGGCAGAACTGTGGAATGATTCGAAGGACTCTATGTAGAGTTAAGGTCTTGGACAAAGCACTCTGCTACATATTCCATTTCTGATTGTGTTGACAAATGCACAAGGATTCTAATATTTGCACATCCTTGCCAACACTTGTTATTGCTTTTCTGTTTTTAAAATTATAGCCATACTTGTAGGTGTGAAGTGGTATCTTGTGGTTTTAGTACAACCAATATTTTAACCATACACACATCATAGATAGTACTGAGAAACTTGAAGCCAAGGAGTTACCACAATTTAAATAAGAACATTCTTATGTTTTACCTTTCTTCATAGATTCTTTTTCCATTCCATCCTTGTATGTATACAAGAGTTCATCAACTTCCTTCAGATCCAGGAAACCTGAACTATCACTGTCCCACTTCTGAAACAGTGCTTCTAGGAGAATCCCCCGTAGGGCTCGGAAAGCATTTTGTCTAATCTGGGATACACACAGGATAACAAAGCACAGAAGACACAATGTTCATTGTGCTAGCTGGCATTCTGTATTTATTCCCCACCAAAAGTGCAGCACCTTTTATAAAGACAGCTTTACTTTGGGGCTAAGTGTGATGTTAGTGGAAAATGCAGTGATTATTTTTCATCCCTTAAATGCCATTTCACCTCTAGACCAGAAAAACAGGCATTCTCTGCATTGGACTAAAACACATTAACTTAGAAAGATTCTTAAGAATCTTTTTTTTTTTTTTTTTTTAGCGTCTGGGGTCTTACTTTGTCACCCAGGCTGGAATGCAATGGCACGATCAACGATCATAGCGCACTGCAGTCTGGAACTACTGGGCTGAAGCAGTCCACCTCAGTCTCCCCAGCAGCTGGAACTATAGGCATGCATCACTACACTCAGCTAATTTTTAAAAAATGTTCTGTAGAGATGAGGTCTATGTTGCCCAGGCTGGTCTCAAACTCCTGGCCTCCAGCGACCCTCCTGCCTTGGCATCCCAAAGTGCTGGAACTATAGGCATGAGCCACCATGCCCAGTCACCTAGAATTTTCTTTTTTGAAACAGAGTCTCGCTCTGTTGCCTGGGCTAGAGTGCAGTGCCATCAGCCTAGCTCACAGCAACCTCAAACTCCTGGGCTCAAGCGATCCTCCTGCCTCAGCCTTCCGAGTAGCTGGGACTACAGGTATGCGCCACCATGCCCAGCTAATTTTTTTATATAGTTTTAGTTGTCTGGCTAATTTCTTTCTATTTTTAGTAGAGATGGGGTCTCGCTCTTGCTCAGACTGGTCTTGAACTCCTGACCTCAAGCGATCCTCCTGCCTCAGCCTCCCAGAGTGCTAGGATTACAGGCGTGAGCCACCGCGTCTGGCTAGTCACCTAGAATCTTTGATGGTTCTTTTCCACTTCCTCCCTGAGTGTTCAGGAATGTGATAAACACATTGGATGCTCTGCCTGGCTTCTTGGTGGGATGTGTTTTGTAGTGAAAGGGAGTGAATGGCAGTGTTCAAAGAATGAAATTGGCTGTGTTAAAAAAATTCTTTTTCATATTTAACATTGACTTAACTTGACACTGATTTTATTCACCTTTTAGAGTTTTCACTAGACTAATTTTATCCATTAGATAGTAATTGAATTAATCACAAAAATAAAGTGAATATATACCTTTTGGGTAAGTGGGAGGAACTGTAATTGAAGAGGCAAAAGGGAATTGTCTAGAATTAGGTTGAGAAGACTCATAAGGCTGATGAGATTACTGAATAGGCTTAGTGAAACTAATTTGCATATTTCATATAAGAGAGAATAAATTATTTAAATAAGCTAATGTGTATATATTTATCTATCACCCAAGTAAGTAGTAAGTTCTTAAGAAATACGTACCACCTGGATGCCCATGAATAAAAATATATACTCAGGCCAAAATCATCCCCCAGGTATGTGTACTTGCAAATACAATGCACTCACATAGCAGACAGGTAATATACACACACATATTTGCACAGATTCATATCTGCTCCTCAGAATCTGCTCCTTAAGCTTCAGAGGAGGAAAAAAAAGCTGTACAAGAAACCATCTCCTGCCAGGAGCAATTATTAGGGGAATGAGTTCCCTGGAGTGTGATCTTTGAACATTTGACACTAAAATAAAATATTTAGTGGCTATGCTTGTTGAAATAAAGTGATACGTTTGGTTGTAAATTTTTTAAGAGGAGCTACATCAGGAGCAACTGAGGTGGAGAGATTTACTTATAATAGTGACCTCACTTGTTTCATTGATAAAAAATAGTACCCACCTGTTCTAAGGCATTCAGTTTCTCTTCTTTTGTTTCAACATAGCCCTTCTTAAAAAAGGAGGTGAGGGCCTCGCTGACACTCAAGGGCACATCTTCACCAACAAATGTCTCCAGGAGTTGCACAAACTGGAGCAGATTGAGGGAAACTCTACTGAAGGCACTCCTACCTTTTATTTCCTTGTAAGATTGAATATTTCTGATAATTGAGTGTAGGTCTGTCAAGCAGGAAACATACAAGAAGCAATAAAGTGAACAATTCTTTCAAACCTTAGGGAAAATATATGAGTACCTATTGTAATAGACATCTGCTATTTTTGCCTGTCAGGCATCCGCACTGCCTTCATGAGGACAGCATCCTCCTTTTATCTTTGGGAAACTATTTCTCCTCCACTGTCAGTTCAGATGAGTCAAGTGGTACTGAGCCTCCCCACCCTTGCTCCGTGGATGGTTGTCTGGCTAACAATTTGCATATGACAGCAACGTAACCCACTATATAGACCAATGAGAATTAGCCCCAGAACTCTTGGAAGACCTGTTAGAGAAGAATCATTCTTTTTTGTACTCTAATTGCTAAAATAGTAGGATATAAGTGTAGAGATGCTCTTGTGGCCATTTTTGCCACAATATGGAGAAAACTGCCTCAAATTGAAAGTGACACAGAGAAGAACAGGGCTGAGAGGCAGAGAGACAGTGTTCAGCTGCTATGGTTGAGCCCTTGGATCCAGCTGTGCCCGAAGCCAGCTGTACTCTGGACTTTCCAGTTAAATAAATTAGTAAATATCACCACTACAACCCCTCCTCACAAGACTCTTGACTAATCTATTTATCTTGAAGCTCAATGTTACAATAAGAAGTATGTTTTATAAAATGTCAGCAAAGTGACTTATGTTTCATTTATTCATTGATTCAATCATTCATGTCCTTATGCCTTCTATATGAGACTTGATATGCCCTAAAAATGATTACCAGCCAAGTTGGTGGCTCACACCTGTAATCCTAGCACTTTGAGAGGCTGAGGTGGGAGAATCACTTGAGACCAGGAGTTCAAGACCACCTGGGCAACATAGTGAGACCCTGTCTCTACATAAAATTTTTAAAAAACTAGCCAGGCATGGTGGCAAACACCTATAGTCCCAGCTACTTGGGAGGCTGAGGCAGGAGGATCACTTGAGCCCAGGAGTTTGAGGGCTACAGTGAGCTATGATCATGCCACTGCACTCCAGCTTGAATTAAAGAGTAAGACTCTGTCTCTAAAATTAAAAAAAAAAAAATTACCCATACAATTTTTATATACAATGGTAAAGCAAAATTGAAATAAAGAAGACTAGAAAGAAGAACATGAACTAGTAGGCCACAAGAGCTTGACCAATGCCCTGCATTTCACCAGAATATTTTGAGGATAGAAAGTTTGCTTTTTGACCAAGGCTTAAATGAGAAAAAAAAATTTGCAGACAAGAAGAAAATAATCTTGATCTAATTCACTCTACTACTTGTTGGTGTGAAAGGCAAAATGATGTAATGGCATTTTAGTAAAATATAAGTACTTTTTGGAATAATCACTGTTAAATACATGGTTTATCTGAAAGCTAAAAACTACTCTTTGCTCTGCTGAGTACATCTTTCTTGGCAAGTCTTCAAAAACAAGAGAGATTGTCACCTGTCTCACATGTTTGGATGCAGACCTACCAGAGAGAGGAAGAGCTGAAATTTCTATCTAATATCTGATTCCTTTTGTATGCTTGGATCATAGCTTCGCATAGTCGTAGGGACATGTAACAGTACAAAAAAATGTATACTAATACTATAAGTTTTAAGGTAGAAGAGCACTTGTCAATAGCACATGAGACCAATAATAGTATAACACCCCCAAAACATCCATTTTGTATCTATTTAGATCCATCTTCTCAGGAAAGAAAGAATGCAAAGATCACTCTCCCATTGTTCTTATTCAAATCCAGTCACTATCACAGAGTACCCCAGTATATTAAATCCATGTATTGGATTGCCATCTATGCTTCTTGATTTCATTGTTAACATGTACCTTTGAACTTGGAGTTACCATAGATTATGTTTGCCTGTTTCTCATCTTCAAATTTGGCATTCATTTTCCAGTTACAAGTAAAAAATTCACCTGTGAAAAACATATTCCACAACATAGCCAATTTAACTTCACTTTCACAATGTTCTTGTTCTAGGGGTATAAATGAAAGGAGGATTAAATGAGGAGTTACCTGACCATGACTTTCCTTCTATTTTGGGGGACTTGGGTTCGCAGGATTTGTCCTTCAGAACTTCCTTTTTTGCAGTTTCTAAAAGGTACAAAAGAAAATAATTATGAATTGGACATTGTATGTTCTATTAGATTTCTAAGGTCAATGAATGATAGAAATGCCTTGTATATAGAACACCAAAGACCCTACTTTCCCATATAGATTGTGTCATAAACTACAGTGAAATCACTTAATAACTTTAATTACTGAGAGCAGCTCTGTAGCAAAAGCTACTTGTTGTATCCCAATTTGGCCATGCAAAACGAGAGCTACATTTCCCAGTCTCCCTCATAGCCAGGTGTCACTATTACTATACAATAGTACTCCCTTTGTCTGTGGAGGATAGACCCCCAGGGGATGTCTGAAACTACAGATAGTACCGAGCCCTGTACATACTTTTGCAGTTCAAAGTGCGACAGCAAAACTAGCATGAATTTCTTTTTCCTTCTCCACAATTTCATGGATATAAGATTTGTTCTTATTGTAGAATTTAACAACCTCAGTGTATGATTTTTTTCCCTTTCCTTATTAAATCAAGAGAACTTTCACATTTTCACTTTAAAGAAAGCACTTTATGGCTTCTCTTTGACATATCCAAATTGCTAGCAAACTACTGTTGTGCTTTGGGGCCATTATTAGGTAAAATAAGGATTACTTGAACACAAGCACTGCAATACAGCCACAGTCAAGCTGATAATCTGGATGGCTATTAAGTGACTAGTGGCGAGGTAGCACAGGCAGCTTTAGATACTCTGGGTAAAAGGATGATTCATGTCATCCTCGGGATACTGTGGGATGGCATGAAATTTCATCACACTACTCAGAATGGCACACAACTTACAATTTATGAATTGTTTATTTCTGGAATTTTCCATGTAATATTTTCAGACTTTGGCTGACTATGGTTAACTGAAACCATGGAAAGCAAAACCTTGCATAAGGGGGGACTACTATATGCCTAAATACTGGCCAATGAGATATGAATTAATATTACAAGGCCGAAGTAGCAGGGTCGCTTGAGCCCAGGAGTTTGAGACCAGCCAGGTGCATTACATCTTAAGTATGACTTTCAGAAACTCTTCTGGAACATATATTTTATATCTAACTGAACAAAGCAAGACCCATTTTATAGTTGAAATAAAATAAATTTTATTTTATTTTATTTATTTTGAGACAGTGTTTCACTCTGTTGCTTGGCCTAGAGTGCAGTGGCATCATCATAGCTCACTGCAGCCTCCAACTCTTGGCCTCAAGCTATCCTCCTGCCTCAGCCACCAAGTAGCTGGGACTACAGATGCACACCACCATACCTGGCTAATTTTTCTATTTTTTGTGAAGATGAGGTGTCTCATTATGTTGCTCAGGCTGGTCTCAAACTCCTGGCTTCAGGTGATCCTCCCTTCCTGGCTTCCCAAAGTGCTAGGATTACAGGTGTGAGCCACCATGCCTGGCTAAAAGAAATTTTAAAAAGTGGTTTCTAATATCAGACACCACATTTAAAACAAAAGGGCTTCTAATGCCTTTTCAGAAACCCAAGTAAAACATTTCTGTACGGCCGGGCGCGGTGGCTCACGCCTGTAATCCTAGCACTCTGGGAGGCCGAGGCGGGCGGATTATTTGAGCTCAGAAGTTCGAAACCAGCCTGAGCAAGAGCGAGACCCTGTCTCTACTAAAAATAGAAAGAAATTAATCAGACAACTAAAAATATATAGAAAAAATTAGCCGGGCATGGTGGCACATGCCTATAGTCCCAGCTACTTGGGAGGCTGAGGCAGAAGGATCGCTTGAGCCCAGGAGTTTGAGGTTGCTGTGAGCTAGGCTAACGCTACGGCACTCACTCTAGCCAGGGCAACAGAGTGAGACTCTGTTTCAAAAAAAAAAAAAAAATTTCTGTATGTAACATTACCAGATTTATTTCTTCCACAGAAATGGACTTACAGTGCAATAGAAATTCTATGTAAATCGACAACAGAGACATTCTGTTTTGCATTTAATTGATTGTTCAAGGTCTAGACTCAAGTTGAGTAGCAAAATATGTCTAAGGTTTGCATGACCTGATATGGCAGATCAAAATCCTAATTTAAATGAATGTTTTCTGAAAAGACTTTAAAAACCACTCCACAAAACACAGAGCTGATGTTGCAGAAGGACTGCACTACTACCTGAAAGACAAACTTTTCTACTTGATGTTGGAACTTCCTCTTCATTTGCTTGCTCCCAAGACCTCCCTTCCTGTAGAGTGATTTCAACATACTCAGAGATAGTAGACTCCCCAGGTTTTGTACTTTTACTTAAGATACTATGTATTATTGATGGTGAACTTGACTTCATATCCTGCTGTTCTTTTGAATTTGTCTCTCCATGAGGTCCTTCTTCTGACCATTCGTATAGTTCTTCTATTGACTTTTCCTGTGAGCCACATTCTGCAAGTCCTTGTTCTGTTATTGACTCCCTGTGTGATCCTTGTTCTGTAGTTGACCTGCCGTGTTGTTCTTGTTCTATTACTAACTCTCCACTTGGTGCTTGTTCTGGAGTCAACTCTGTGCGAGTGCCTTGTTCTGTTACTAATTTGCTGGACAGTTCTTGTTCTGCAGTTGGCTCTCTGTCTTGTTCTTCAGTTGAAATTCTGTATTGTCTTTGTTCTGCAGCTGTCCCTCCCTGCTGTTTTGGTGGGTCTGGTGGTGGTGTTGATATTCTCTGTTCATCATGTTTCTGTTGATCTTCTGGATTTTGTAATAATTTACCTTGGGTTTTACTAGCACGTTTTTCAGCAAGTGATGTATTCACCTCTAAGGCCACTTTGTCAAAGTCTTCATAAATGTGTTTCTGATTATCCATGTCTCCCCAGAACTCAGGCAAGTCTATCTCTTCAAATTCAATGAATGGCCCTGATGCAGAAAACAAAACATTTACCTTAACAATTGATCTTAGAACGCAGAATCAGAACTATTAAATTAACACCAAAAAAAAAAAAAAAAAAGCATTGAGCACAGTGATTGTAATATAGGCCTATTGCTTTAAATAAATACCAGTTACCTTTGGCTGCAACAAAATAAAAAGCAAAACAGTATCTATAAGAACTTAAAAAATTCTCACTACTGTGAGTTAGAGATCATCCCTTCTTAAAAGTTGTGGTTTTGGAAATGAACGTGATTTTCCTTTTGCTACTTCAGTGTTGCTTAGACTACCAAGGAATACAGAATTTATCCTCTACCTTTGTGGTCCACCTACAGCACGTATAGCATAGGGATGGAGAAGGGGACACCATTTCCATCTCAAGTATCTTTTCAATATCTGCAATCTAAAAATAAAAGCAAGTCTCTATTCATGAAAGTCTTTCACTGGGGCTATGTTTTTCCAAATTCATTTTGTCTCCCTTCCTCTTTCCCTCTTTCTTCTTCATTCCTCAATTATTTTCCTCTACAACTTATGTGTACAGCTGGATTTGAATTCTAGGGAAAGACTGGATAGCATGCACCAGAATCCTGCTGTTAAAAAACAACAAAACCCTGGTGTCCAGCACTACAGAAAGTGGGATTTATGCCACAAGACTGTCCCCATCCACACAAAAACATTTAGTAGTTAAACTATTTTCAGGAATACTTCACATATATCACGTACAGATTTTTAAGTATCCAAGTAATAAATCCTCACATGGAAATAAAATAGTGCCATTCTTTGGAAAATCCAGCCATTAAAAGGTTTTTTTTTGTTTTGTTTTTGAGACAGAGACTTGCTCTATATCCCGGGGAGAGTGCAGTGGCATCATCATAGCTTACTGCAACCTCAAATTCCTGAGCTCAAGTGATCCTCCTGCTTCAGCTTCCCAAGTAGCTGGGACTATAGGCCCACACCATGTCTCACTAATTTTTCTATATTTTGTAGAGATGGGATCTCACTTTTGCTCAGGCTGGTCTCAAACTCCTGGCCTCAAGCAATCCTCCTGCCTTAGCCTCCCAAAGTGCTAAGATTATAGGCATGAGCCACCTCACCTGGCCAAAAGACTTTCTCTTTAAAAAATAAAAAAACACTGGGCATGGTGGCATGTGCCTGTAGTCCCAACTACTCAGGAGGGTAAGGTGGAAGGATCACTGGAACCCAGAAGTTCAAGGCCAGCCTGGGCAACATAGTGAGACCCCATCTCTGAAAAAATAAAATAAATAAAAATAAACCCATAATCTATTTGTTTTGGTAGTAATATAAAAAGGATATTTTACTGTATAAGTACAGTAAACATGTACAAGTAAAAATGCTTGGGAGAAGAAAATATTTTTCTTAGAAATATTAGTTCTAAGTTGGGCATTAAAAATGGAATTACCATCACTAGCTTAATTTCCAAAACATGCAGATTGTTACTAAAGCACCTCTTCATTTGAATGAATTTAAAATTAAGTTCTAGCTAAGTTCTGAGATAACAATTTTGAGTATTCCACAAAGGAAAAAAATATATTTAGTTGTGATGAAGAGTGAATTTTGTAAGGGAATAAACAACTAGATATAGCTATCATAATTTAAGAGAGATGTCATATGAAGGGATTCCATGGAAATAGATTGATTTTGTGTTATCACATCAGTGTACCATGACACTCCAGCTTGAGCATATTTCCTCTGAGTGACACTTACATTGTCTTGGGTTTCGGAGTAAACTTCTAAGCATTTGTGAACTTTGGTCATAGAACATTTCCAGCAAAGCCAATGTCCTCTGCCGATCCAAAAACCCTACCTAAGCAGAAAGTTTGTAATTAGTTGTTATATGAAACTTAAGATTTTTATGCAGTTGGAACATGGTTTATTGAAGCTTTTATCACCACCACCACCATCATCATTATGTAAATAAAAGCTGCAGCATCAAAATCAGGAAAGCTATATCTTCCCTTTAGTCTTATACTCGATTTCTCCATTCTATGACATGGCAAAATACCTTACATTTAGTAGATGTTTAACAAATATTTGTTGTTACTGACTTATCAATTGCCAACCCAGTATGTAATATTCAGTTCTTATCTAATCTTACCTGAGTATATCACTTGAAACAATTAAAATCTCCCTACTTGTTCTTTTTTTGCATTGTTTAATTTTGAGAAAATTTTTTATTATAGAAAATGATAGAACATCTGTGTTCCCAACACCCAGAAATGATTGCTAGCATTTTGTGTATGTACTTAAAAAAACTGATACAGTACATATATCCTTCTTCAACATTGAGATCTAATTTATGAATGTAAAGAAATATGTTTTATTTCCTTCAACTGCAATATGGTATTCTTTAATATGAAAACACCATAATTTTTTTTAACATTCCTCTATTGATAGACATTTAGATTATTTTCAGTATTTCTATATCAACATAATGCTGCAGTGGGTGTCTTTATACACATTTCCTTATGTGCAAATGTTTCTCTAACACAGCAGTCCCCAACTTTTTTGGCAACAGGGACCAATTTCATGGAAGACAATTTTTTCACGGACATTGGTTGGGGTTGGGAGAGAGGAAGGAGGGAGGTGTAGCTCCGGTGGTGATGCATGGCCCCTTCCTAACAGGCCACAGACCCCGGCGGTTGGGGACCACAACTCTAAGATAAATAACTAGAATTGGAATTACTGGATTGTGTAATGTATGCATTTTCAACTTTAGTAGTTATTGCCAAATTGCTCCGCAAAATGCCTACAACAATTTACATTCCCACCAGCACTGAGAGTATCATTTCTTCATATCCACACCAAAACTTGATATTGTTTTTCCAATCTGATAGATAAGATGGTATCTTATTTTAAATTGCTTTTCCCTGATTATTAGTGAAATTTAACATGTTTTCATATATTTATATATGTGGGTTTCCTCTTCTGCGAACGGCTTTTTCTTGTTATTTTCCCATTCTTCAATTGAGAACAGTTGTCTATTTCTTCTTAATTTTAAAAATTTTGATAATGATCATTCTGTTATCTACATAGGAAATATTTTTCCCAGTTTATCTCTTATATTTTAATTTAACTTTTGATGAGTTTAGCCATATCAATGCTATCCATTAACTTTGAGGCTATCCATTAATTTTGAGGTAGTCAAGTATATTAATCATTTTCTCTATGGTTTGCACCCATTTGGAATATTCTTTAGGAAATACTCACCTATACTGGAGTCAGAAGGTATGTGCTCTACATTTGCTTCTAAAATTTTTAAAATTTTGTTTTCCACATCTAGGTTTTTGATCAGATAGAACTCATTTTTCCTCATTAGTGAGGTTGGACTCTAATTTTATGTTTTTTCCCAATATGGAAAGCCAATTGCCCCAATATCATTTATTAATTAGTCCTTTTCTCACTGATTTATACTGCTACCTATGTCATATACTAAATTCCCACATACTTTCACATCTGATGCCAGGTCCAATATTCTGTTCCATCGATTTGTTTATCTATTCCAGCATCAAAGCCAAAGCCATTTCAGTTAATATAACCTTATTTTATTTTATTTATTTATTTATTTTTTTGAGACAGAGTCTGGCTCTGTTGCCCTGGCTAGAGTGCCGTGGCATCAGCCTAGCTCATAGCAACCTCAAACTCCTGGGCACAAGCAATCCTCCTGCCTCAGCCTCCCGAGTAGCTAGGACTACAGGCATGCGCCACCATGCCCGGCTAATTTTTTATATATATTTTTAGTTGTCTGATTAATTTCTTTCTATTTTTAGTAGAGACGGGGGTCTCTCTCTTGCTCAGGCTGGTCTCGAACTCCTGAGCTCAAACAATCTGCCCACCTCAGCCTCCCAGAGTGCTAGGATTACAGGCGTGAGCCACCACGCCCGGCCTAACCTTATTTTAAAAATCAGGGAAATTCTCCTCAACTTGTTCTTCATTTATAATTATTTTTGGTATATTTGGACTTTTATTTTTCCATATAAATTTTCAAACTAAACCTTTTAAAAAATGAATACTATATATACAGAAAAATGCACAAATCATAATAAGTATATGGTTTTATGAATTACAGACTATAAACACACACAGGAGCTGTTTCTCAAAGGAGAATAATAAACTTTAGTAGAGGGCAGGGATTTGCTCCAAAACTCAAGGGATTTACAATTTGATTCTACTATTGCAACTTGCCCCAGCATTCCAGTATGCCACATGCACTCCAAATACCAAAAGATCCTCTGGGTAATAATGCACAAGGTGAAGAAGAGTTTTTGCACTACCTAGAAAAGCCTGTAGAGCCTTTTCTTGCTCTGGGATGGATCCACTCTGGCAACGGATGGCTCAGTTAAAGCATAAAAGCAACACACACAAACCCACTCAGTTAATTCTTAAAAGCAGCATATGCAAATATGGCAAAAGTTGTTTCTAAAATATAAAAATAATCCAGTAAGCATTGCATCTCTTTCTTAATGGTAGGTGGCACAGGATATGGCAATTTACCTTATACTTGGAACCACCAGACTGCTAAAAATTTTACCAAGGCAGTAAACCTTGGATTTTTGTGGGGTTTATCTCCCATCCTCTGACATGCATGTGTCTTACCAAGGCATATAATGCCACTTCTGGCTCATCAAGTCCAATCACCATGATGGACATCATGGACCTGTGTGATGTTCTGTGATATGTCAACACAATCAAGGGCTTTGCATCCCAGATTAGGATAGAGAAAAGGAGAGCTGTCTTAGCCTTAAGGCAAAACAGTGAAAGTATACTGCTGTTTCTGACAGGTGAAATTAAACTTCTCTATTGGTCCTTGTAAACTGCCCTAGAGAAAAGAGCATTTGCCAGACCAACAGCTGTGAATGAGAGGGCTATGTCAATTTGGTTCAATAAAGCTTCCACACCTGGAAAGGCCACTGCAAGTAGAGTCACGGTAATCTACAAACATTCTTCAAGATGTATCCACCTTCTACATAGACAAAACAGAAGCATTAGAAAAGAACGTGATAGGATTACTTCCCCTGAATCCCTTATATATTTTCATATGTAATCTCTGTTTTTGTTTCTGTAATCTGTTTATTTGTTGTTTTTTAGATTCTGGCAGACAGGGAAAGTTCAGGAGTTTCTGTTTGGTCCTTCCTAACATAAATGTCCTCAGTCCCCAATTTGAAGAACAAATGTGAGGATTCTGTTATTGCTGAGTGTGTCCATTCCAATTAAACATTCAGGAACCAGAAATAACCATAGTTAAATCCACAGATTAATTGGGCCTGTGCTATAATCTTGGGCCAAAATAGCATTTATCACCTGACATCCATAAACTGTAACTTTAAACCAACAGTCCACTCGGGTGCTTTAGGATCCTAGGGATTAGTGTTAACTTGGAGTCAGTGTCTGGTAATCCCTGAGAATCTGGGATAATTTCCATTTTCTCAATGCATATTCACCCTAATAAATGCCTACAGGCCCTCTGAGGAAAGCCAGGAGTAATATCTACAATGTATGCTTGAGAAAGTCTTATATAATTCTTTCCCAAGAGACTCAGCCTCCCCTTCAACCAAAGAGTTCTGGGTGTATAAAGTGACTTAAGTCTGGAAACTGCATGAGAGACCAAGATTCTCCATTGTGGTATCTCAACTCATGTTTCTGACTCCATAGTTAGTGCTTTTCTGTAAATATATCCAGTTAATAATATAGTAGACATCTTATCTATTTAATGCCTAAGGAAACCATTCATGATCACCAAGACAATCCATGTGGGCCAAAACATTCAGATGGCCACTTTAACCCCTACTGTTCATCAGGGTAATTCCAAGTATATATTCAGGAACTAAAGAAATAACCACAGTGTGAATCCTAGACAAACTGGACCTATTAAAATATGGCCTTGGTCCTTAGGGATTGAATCAAAATATCACATATCAATGCCATTTATGAGCACTAATTTTGACTGTGGACCTTGTCTCTGGCAGTTAGATGACATATGTCTTCTGTCACTCTGGATTCCAATCATTTCCCTTGAAATCAGTTTAAATGGCAGTGTCTCCCAACATCATCCCCAGGACAGCTATCATAGAAGTTTTAGTGATGCTGGTGTTCCCTTCAATAATTTCTTGAGTATCTCTCAAGGGAGTGTCATTTGAGCTGTCTTGGGCTATATGGTAGAAGCAATCTGTGCAGGCACATGAGAAATCAATTTCAGCAATCTTGAAAGCCTTTAGACTTCTTCCTCTATAGTATGCCAAGAAGGTTCTGTCATGTCATCTCAACCTCATTGAATGTAGGCCATTTTTGAGTCAAAGTTTAATTTAATCTATGAGAGAAATTAAAACGTGTACACTACAAGACTTGTGCATGAATGTTCTTAGCATCCTCATTCACAATAGCTCCAAATTGGAAACAACCCAAATGTCCATTGACTTGTGGACTGATTAAAAAAAAAGAAAAATTGTGACCCTGCCTACTGCAGCTGCTATCCTTCCTCTTTAGTGCCATGTTGGATTCAGGACTTCTCTAAAACTTGCAGCCTCTGAACTACACCCAGGAAATGAAGCATAAGGGTTTGCTGTTCTTAAATTTCATCCCAACCTGGAATTTCCAAAAGTGTCTATACTGTTGCCCTCAACCTCCAACCCTGACTGGGGCTCAGGGATGGGGGATCAGGCACTAACCCAGACTGAGGGACCAAGACAACCTCTAAGCTTTAGTCATACCCACTCCAACCTCCTCCTCCTATCAGCTGGTCACAATTTCCCAGTGATAGAAAAACTGCTTTGGTGTCATATTTTGCATTCTTCTTTATAAGTCTCCATTCTTTCTCAAGAGCTCAGCATTTTCTATTTAAAGTCTTTCATTTTCAATTTAAAGGCTTTCAGGGCCGGGTGCGGTGGCCCACGCATGTAATCCTAGCACTCTGGGAGGCCGAGGCGGGAGGATCGCTTGAGGTCAGGAATTTGAGACCAGCCTGAGCAAGAGTGAGATCCCGTCTCTACTAAAAATAGAAAAACTTAGCTGGGCAACTAAAAATAGAAACAAAAAATTAGCCAGGCATGGTGGCATGCGCCTGTAGTCCCAGCTACTCAGGAGGCTGAGGCAGAAGGATCGCTTAAGCCCAGGAGTTGAGGTTGCTGTGAGCTAGGCTGACACGGCACTCTAGCCCAGGCAAGACAGTGAGACTGTCTGAAAAAAAAAAAGCTTTCAGAACTCTTGTCTCAGCTACTGGTTAGAAATACCCACTCAGAAACTCAATTAACTTCTTTATTCTAGACTCTATTTACCTTCTCTCTGAAGGGGTTAAAATATGCTATTCTAGCATATTGACTATTGTTAAAGATACTTGAAGAGCAACAGATGCAAGAAGATCACTTTGACCTTCATGCTGTTTCTTCAAAGCAGAAGATGAAGTTCCCATGTGAAAGACACTCTCTCTGTATTAGAAGGAAAGGCAACATCCTTATCTTCAAGGATGAGAAATTGAAACCAAAAGAATACTGTATAAACCTTGTTAGACTAACTCTTATCTTTTAAGCCTCCATGCATAATTTACCCACATTAACACAGTTTACTATTCTTTGTCCAATCCAGTATATAAGTAACTGACTCTAACTGCTTGCTTCTTGGAGTCTTCATTTCCTTATTAGGGCTTCCATGCCACATAAAACTTATAAATTTGTATGCTTTTCTCCTGTTACTCTATCTTATATCAGTTTAATTCTCAAGCCCAGCTGGGACCCTAAGAGGATGCAGGTGGAGTTTTTCTGTCCTTACACTTCCAAGATCAGCACATAACTGCTGCTTGAATGATGGGAAGAAAAGCAAAGAGCACAAACAAGCCTCGGTTATTAATAATTCCTCTAAATATTATCCCACTATGTTTGTTAAAACATATGAGTTGCTGTTAAATTGGGCAACAGAGAACATCCTTCAGGCATTTTACCAGGGAGTAAGATCTTGATGCTCACGTCACCCAATAGTTCTTACAAGCTCTGCTAAAAGCAGCAATATTCAAGAAGGACTGCCTGAAAGACACACAGACATTTCAGATTTTATAAAATATATTCCTGACTTTAGCCAAATTAACAGGGATCTGAGAACCTAGACTGCAATATATTAGTTCCTTTAAGAACTGCTTTTTCTGAATTGCAGTCCAGCATGGTATCATTTGGCTACAGTTAAGAAACTGCCCTAAAAAAGTCATTGCATTTATTACAAGTCCATCAAAAAGGATGTTCACTTCATCACATAGGACCCCTTTAATGAGTACCTCCAGGAGAAACTCCTAACTATAATTTGAACACCAAATTTCTATACTTAGCACCAGTTTGTAATTATAAACATTGTCAATAGCGGGTTTTGTCATGCTTCCCTTTTCACATTCATCGCTAGGAAGCTTAGATCCAAACTTGTAAACGACCCACAACCAATATTTAGGTCATTATAGTAGCATTTTTGAGGTAGGGAAAAGATAGGCCCCGCTGGATAAAGAGTCATAAGACCTGAACCAAGGTTTCTGATAAGAGATAAGAGATGGAGAAACTGGCCAAAACCAGCTAGGACTCAGATGACCACAAAAAATGACCTCAGATTATCTTCACTGCTCATCATACCCTGCTTATAATGTATTAGCATACTAAAAGAAACTCCCACCAGGGCCATGACAGTTTACAAATGCCATGGCAACTCCTAGAAGTTACCCTATATGGTTTAAAAGGGGGAGTTCTCAGTTCTGAGAATTCCCCACCCCTTTCCCAGAAATCTTATGAATAATTATCCCTACTGCTTAACATACATTTAAATAGGAGGTATAAAATGAACCATTCAACCTGGAGACGAAGGTCGATAAGCTAGAACTGATGTTCCAGAAAGCTGACTCTGATCTGGATTACATTTAGTACAAGCTAGAATATGAAATCAAGACTAATCATCCTGATTCAGCAGGTGAACTGTCACCACTGGCTGGAGAAGAGAAAACTGCAACAGAGCAATTAAAATCTCACATGCCAGACTTATGAAGAAATGGACTTGCAAAAATTTAGGAAGATGTCTCTTAACACTTGATGACTAGAGGTGGGGGGCTGATGAAGGAGGAGGAGGTTTGGCTTGAATGACTGGATAATGATGCCTTTCATAAGAGAGAAGAATATAAGAAGAAGCACAGATATTATATGACTAAAGTTCAGCCAACAGGATGATATGGGAATAAAGGAATTTAAATACACACACACACACACACACACACAGTCTTGTAATTTTAGGTGAGGAAGTCCTTTAACACTATTTTGCATCTGTTTTGCCTTTGTGCAGTAGGTAGGGTTCTGGCCTATTATAAAAGAATGTTAGTCAATATGTGAATGAGCATGCTTTGGAAACTAAAGAGTAGCCAAAAAAAAAAAAAAAAGGTATAAAATAAGACCCCAGAAACTCAAAAGGTCTACTCTCTATTGCTGAGAGAGAGAGCTTCTGCCCTGTCTATGGGGCAGCCTCCTTTTTTTCCTTTTCTTTAATAAACTTTCTCTGTCAGCTTGCTCTTGAATTCTTTCCTGCTTGAAGCCAAGAACCTGCTTGGCCTTCAGGCCAGACCCCCAATTTGGGGCCTACTTTTTTATATCATTTTGGGCTTTGTTCCCACCTTCATTTAGTAGCCTCTCTCTTATTTTTTTCTTCTTTTATCCTACTTTGTTGCATTCTATCTATTCTTGTGAGCTTCCTTAAATCCTTTCTGGAACATAGGCATACAAATAAATAAATATAAGGTTCATAAACAAATATATTTCAGTAAATTTTGTATCATATTACAAGTCCACTTGGTATCCTGACACACTATTGTTCTCCCAAATTCCATTTTTACAAACACTTTTTGATATAAACACTTCTTGTTTTTAAGAATCAGCATAATAAAAGTGGTAGGGTTTCTACTCCTAGCAACTGTTTTCTGCAGGGAGCCACCAACAACGAGAGTAAGAAAAAACTTAATTTAAAAGTTTAAAAATTTTTTTTTAAAAATTTAAAAACTGAATTGTATTTTGTATGTTCTTTTCCCCCCTAGTAATCCATTTTCATTTTCATTCAGTCTACAACAGATTGAGAATTAAAAACATCATCAACAACAACCACCTAAAAATGGGTCCATCATAACAAATAGTTTGAGAAGCAATTCTGTGAGGGTCTGAACCCACCTTTCCAGAGTCACAATGTAGGAAGAGTTCAGCAAACATCTGCCTCTGCATGTCAGTTTTTATGACCTCCCGGAATTCATCTGCACAGTGGCAAAGGTGCTTAAGGAGTTTCTCAAACATTTCATTTTTAAAGTCTGCAACATGCGAAGAGATGTACTGCAGGGAAAAAAAAGAGGGTAAATGATTGACTCAGAACCTTGCTCTTTACTTGGATTTTTCCCAAGGATTCAGCCAATGTGCATGAAATGTATTGGCTGCAAAATGTTTCCATACCATTTGCTTATCACTTAGATGAAGCATTTTCATGATAGTGCTGCTCTATAGGCTGTGATGCAGAGAGGTAACCAATGAAGTCCCCAGCATCCTACCCCAATGGGACTAGATATTTTTGGAGCAATTTCCCTCTAGATCACACCAGCATTATACAGGGCAGACTTTCCTCATGGTATGAAATAGCAGCATTGCCTGGAAAATGTTGCCTGTAAATTAAAAGTTCTAAAAATCAAATGCAGTTTTTCTACTGGTATATGGCATATAAGAGCATGTGTGTTCTAAGACTGGTTACATTTAATTACTGGAGTGTAAGGGATGGGGATCGTGGGTGGCTTTCGTCTTTTGATATTGTGTTAAGGTATCCTTTGACTGTGATTTTTTTTTTTAAAGTGTAGGGACTGAAAACATCTATATTCTTGGGCCATTTCTCTTGATCCCTGTTGAATGGATTACCAGAAGCGGGATTGCTAGCTTAGAAGGCGAATGTACCTGTATTTTTCTGAGTGGAACACTTCTCTTGAAGTCTTAGCCCAGCTCACAGTCAATGATTTTCTTCCCTCCCCTAAGCAGAGAGGTAGCCAAATTTATATTGCATGACCCCACTTCATAGCCATAAATGATTGGATCAGAGGAGAACACTTAACCCAAGTAAGGTCATTCAGATTCTCTCCACAGGAATCGGGGATTAGAATTGAGGAATGGCCAGTGATCTTTGAGTGGGGCTGGACTTGTGAATGTATAGGGAAGGCAAAACTTCACCTCTACTCTCTTAGGGTCTTTGGCTGGGCCTGAGAATTAAGTTAACATAAAATGGACTAATAGGAGACACACATAAAAATTTAATATAAGTGTCATGTGACAGGGAACCCTCATAAGGAAATGAAGACCCAAAGAAGTGGCAAAATCTGCATGCTTTTATATTAGGTTGATCAAAGAGAGGCAATTGTAGAAAAGTAACTAAATTTTGTAGGGAGGCTAAAAGGAAGATAAGAATTATTTTAACAAGGTCTGTTTGTACAGAATTCTCTTGTCTAAGACTCCCAGCTGAAGAATGTTTCCTTTCTCCTGGTAGAGGGAGGGCATCTTTCACAGGGAGATTTTAATCTCCTATTTTCAGGAAGGAAAGGGGAGATTAGAATGCCCTTCTTGTATTTGCTGTTTTTCAGGTTCTTTAGTTCAAAGTAATCCTTATGTCAAAGTGGCATATTTTGGGTTAGTATATTCTGCCACCCTTCAAATGTAAATTTGAGAGTTGTTGGATGGCCAGATTGCTCCATGTAAACTGAAGCTGCAGAGAAAGTCTGTCCATAGAGAGAGACAGATGAAATAGAAAGCAGAGAGAAACAGAGTGTTGGTCCCTGTTCTGGTCTCTTCCTGAAGCCCTGGGAGTATGCACATTTCATTTTTAGGTATATTAGTTTAGGCTGGTTTCTGGTTCTTGTAATTAACATGTTTTAGCAATTTGCTACTAAAGAATAGTCATTTGTTTAAAATGCAACATGTTTCTGGCATATTTCATTGATGCATAATTTTTGAAGGTGATATTTAATTTCCTCATCATCTAGGCAAATTTAGAAAGTATTATTAAGAGACACGTTTGGCTTGAATCCATGCTAATGAGTCATTAACCATTATTCAGCTGGCTTAAAGATCAAAAGAGAAAAATTTACAGCAGAGCAAAAAAGCTTTCTAAATATTTGGTTCCCTTAGCTGCCTGAATCACCTGGTTGTCATTATTCTTGATGAATCAATGAGCACAGCTAAGTTCTTCCCTGTTACCAGGGAAAGCAGAGTAGTGGAAGTGGTTAAGAACTCTTTCCAAAGCCTGAGTTCAAATTCCAGGTTCCATGTTCCTTCATTTGTGAAATGGGTACCATAGTAGTAGAATCTCACTGGGTCATCATGAGGGTCTTGTATATGTACCTAGAGTTTGGGTATTTCAGGTAGTAAGTTCTCTATAGCCATTGCTCTTGTCTGCTCTTGAGGCAGATAAGCAATTGGCCAAGAAAGTTTTCTTCATTGAATAAAGCAGTCCTCTCAGCCGACATACAACTTTGAAGGGAAAACCCAATGAGATCAATGATTCACAAAGTGTGATCCCTAAACCAACAGCATCAGCACCTCGAGAAATGCAAATATTTGAGCCCCAGATTTACTGAGTCAGAACCCCTGTAGGGGCCAACAATCTGTGTTTTGACAAGCCTCTCAGGTGATTCTGATGCTCATTGAAGTTTGAGACCCATTGAACCAGGTGATCTGGGGTAACTGGTCCTAATTAGCCCAGTATCCTAAGATCCTGTTGTTTGATCCTTAGTGACTTTTTGCTTGGTAGTATTTTTCTAAATTACTCATATGGTACAATTATTGAATGATTGACATTTTCAGCAATATCATGGCTCAATCCTCTAATGCCGAAAGAAAAAAAAATCACTGGTTCATGAGAAGAATCATCCTGTTTTATGTTAAGCTAGTGGGAATTGACTTTAAAGCCATGAGTTTTCTGGCTGTGGGAATGGTATTGAATCAAGAATTAGTTAAAACCTTTCTCTGAGAGACACATCAACATTCTGGATTTATAGCCTATGGGTTTTCTGAGTTAGCACGTTCTGATTGTTCTGTACGTATAGGCTAGCTGCCATAAAACTAACAGTTGACAATATCTGTATAGACCTTGTTTAAATAATTCTTGTCTAGCTTCCTCACATAACTTAGTTGCTTTTTCACAATTTACTATTTCTTGCCCAATTCAGTATATAAGTGTTCAACTCTGTGTCTCTGTGTCTTCATTTCCTTATGAAGTCTCCTATGTCATGTAAAAATTGTGTGTTTTTCTCCTGTTGATCTATCTCAGGTCAAATTAATGCTCAAGTCCAGCCAGGAAAAAAACCTAAAAGCATAGAGGAAAAATTTTGCCTCCCTTACACACTCACGCATTCTCAATATAATCACAAGATAAATAACATATTAATATAAATATTCATTACAGATAGCTGGGAATGGTGAACATAAGTGACAATATGAGTCAAGATTCTCATGCCTAGAGTGACCAGAGCTGATATGCAGGCCACACAGTGAATAGCCCTTTGTTTAATAGTCCTTGCCTGAGAAGCAATACTTGGTATTACTTTGGAGGTGAGTTAGGGCAGTGGGCCCCAACATTTTTGGCACCAGGGACTGGTTTCATGGAAGACAATTTTTCCACAGACTGGGGCGGTGGGGGGCAGGCAGAGCTCAGGCAGTGATGCGGAGTGAGTTGTCTCTGGAATGAGTTATCTTTGGAGGATCAAAGTGTTCTGAGAATTTCAAACAAACCTCATCTGCTCCTAAAACATATTTCTAAATACTTGACTTATAAAACAAAACAAAACAAAAATTCCCAAATAAGCCAGTACACTGTACATTTTAAACTGTTTCTGTCAATGTCTAAAACACTGTTCTTAAGGTTCCTTTTGAAGTAAGGAAACAAGTTATGGCAGGTGAAAGAAATTTAAAACTCATGACACCAGATGAGTTTCCTATATGAAACCTGCTCAGTTGAGATCTCATTTTTCTTTTGTTATGCATTCCCCAGCAGCAATGAATATAATAGTTTATCATGTTTGCATCTGTTCATTGCTTTGTAATTTTGTGTGTGTGTTCTCAATTTGTTTATATTGTGATCCTCCCCTTCCCAGATCCTACTCTGATCCCACCCAGTGTGTGTGTGTGCATGCGCATATCCTCCCCCTCCCCCACAGACAGGGACATAAATTCCTGCATATACCTACAGATGCACTCCCATACAACAATGCATTATTGTAATGAGTAAATATTCAATATATACTTAGTAACTAAGAGACTAGAAGTAAACATTCTAAAGAAGTTACTTTGGGTCTTCATTTACTGGAATACAACAGATGAAAAGTGAGAGACAGGTCATAGTCAACAAACACATCGTAACCTCTTCATTTATCCATCAGAAAACAGATAACACTAGGAAAATGATAGGCATATAGAGGCATCTGTGACTATTCATTCTCTCCATTTCTCTTTTTCTCTGTTAATTACTACTCAGTGACTCAGTTTTCTCCAAACATACTCCATCCTGAGTGCTAACTACATTGCTTATTACAAATGATCAGAAGGGCAATTGTATGGCATAGTATCTCCACTAGGTGGCACTTGTGTGTAATAGCTTGACATTAACCCCAACATTTATAATTACATTTTCTTCGGTTTCATTACTTGAGTACTGATAAAATAGCCTTAAAGCAAACCTCTTTAAAAGCAAGTGCTCCAAACACTACTTCTATGTCATATAGGATGGTCCAATGATTTGTTGATCAGATAATTAACAATGTTCAATAAATATTGCTCTATAAGAAATACTTTCTTGGCTCTGTCCAGGTAACAGCTCTTCTTTGTAATGAAAGTGCCTGATTGTTGTGCTGTCTGCATTTCAAAAAGAGAAGTTGGGAAATGTCAGGAAAACTAATAATACTAATAGCCCAAACCATCCATCAAAACCAAATTATGTATGTAAAACACATATACACAATTAAAGGAAATGGTGTAAGAGTGATGTATTCCTATATTCCTGTATTCCACGAGATTTATATACACTCATTAGCATTCTATATAACACCTTTGTAGATGGAGTTCCAACATAACTTCCCTCTCTCATTTCTCATCCTTCCCCAGTCACATGCCTCACATACTAGTCAAAAAGGATTATTTACTATCATGTAGACAAACCATGTTCTTTCAGTATTTTATCTCTTTACATGCTATTCCTCTTCCTTCCTGGAAAGTCCTTCTTCCTTTTCTACATCTGTCCAGCTTCCAGATATATAGATTGTCTGAGACATCTTGGCTCACCTACTCTACTGGTGTTCCTCCTCTGA